TCCTCTTAACCTGTCATTCCATTTCACCTCTGATTTCTTTAATTTTTTTTTATTTTTTGTTCTTACCTGAGGACATTTTTGCATTTATCTTGAGATAGAGTGAGAGGGAGAGAGGGAGGGAGGGAGAGTGGAGAGAGAGAGAGAGAAACATCGATGTGAAAGAGACACATTGAGTGGTTGCCACCCACACGACCCTAACCGGGGCTGGGGACAAACCCCAACTGAGGTACGTGCCCTTAGTGGAAACCAAATCTGGGTCTCTCTGGTTCACGGGCCAATGCTCTAACTGCTGAGCCAAACCGGCCAGAGCTCACCTTTGATTTATTAAGCTCTCTGTTTAAATGATGTTGTTTGATTCATTTGTCCCAAATACACCTTGTGTTTTCTCACCTCTACATTTTTTTTATTTATTTATTTTTATCTTTTAATTTTTTAAATTCTCACCCAAGGATAGTTTTTTTATTTATTTTCAGACAGAATGGGAGGGGGGGGGGGAGAGAGAGAGAGAGAGAGAGAGAGAGAGAGAGAGAAACAGTGATGTGAGAGACACACATCGATTGATTGCCCCTGTCCTACCCCAACCAGGGCCAGGGACCAAACCGCAACCAATATGCGTGCCCTTGACTGGAATCGAACCCATGAGTCTTTGGTCTGTGGGCTGATGCTCTAACCGCTGGGCCACAGTATCACCTCTACACTTTTAAAAATATACATTTTTATTGATTTTAGAGAGAAGGAGGGAGAGAGAGAATCGAACCAGTGACCTCTCAGTGCATGGGACCATGCTCAGCCAACTGAGCCACACTGTCTGGGCTCACCTCTATGCTTTTGCTTGTGCTATTTTTTTTTACTTGTTTTGGCTTCTCATTTTTTTTCTTTAAAAAAAATTTTTTAACTTATCTTTATTGTTGAATGTATTACAGATGTCCCTCTTTTTTCCTCCCTTTACCCCCTCCTCCCCAGGCCCACCCCCTTTCTGCTTTCTCCACACTATTGTCTGTGTCTACTGGTTATGCATATATGCATATAAGTTTTTTGGTTTCTCTCTTCCTGCCCCACCTCCCCCCTTCCCTCTGAGGTTCATCAGTCTAACAACTAGTTTGTATTTCTTAATCCCTTCACCTTTTCCACCCATTTCCTCAACCTCCCTCCCATCTGACAACCAACAAAAACTTCTCTATCTATGAGTCTGTTTCTGTTCTGCTTGTTCATTTTGTTTGTAGATTCAATTGTTGACAGATATGTATTTATTGCCATTTTATTGTTTATATATTTTTTGTCTTCTTTAAGAAGACCTGTCAACATTTCATATAATACTGGTTTGGTGGTGGTGAACTTCTTTAGCTTTTTCTTGTCTGGGAAACTTTTTATGTGGCCATCGATTCTAAATGATAGCTTTGCAGGATAGAGTAATCTTGGTTGTAGGTCGTTGCTTTTCATCTCTTTAAATATTTCTTGCCACTCCTTCCTGGCCTACAAAGTTATTTTGAGAAATTGGCTGACAGCCTTATGGGAACTCCTTTGTTGGTAACTGCTTTTCTCTTGCTGCTTTTAAGATTCTCTCTTTGTCTTTAACCTTTTGCATTTTGATGATGATGTGTCTTGGTGTGGGCCTCTTGGGGTTCATCTTATTTGGGACTCTCTGTGCTTCCTGGGCTTGTATGTCTGTTTCCTTCACCTAGTTAGGAAAGTTTTCTGTCATTAATTTTTCAAATAGGTTTTCAATTTCTTGCCCTCTCTCTTCTCCTTCTGGCACTCCCATGATGCGAATGTTGGCACACTTGAAGTTGTCCCACAGGCTCCTTATACTGTCCTCATTTTTTTGGATTCTTTTTTTCTTTTTGCTGTTCTGATTGGGTGTTTTTTTGCTTCCTTATATTCCAAATTGATGGTTTGCTTCTTGGCTTCACCTACTCTACTATTGATTCCCTGTAAATTATTCTTTATTTCAGTTAGTGCAACCTTCATTTCTGACTGGTCCTTTATTATGCTCTTGAGATCCTCACAAAGTTCCTTGAAATTCTCACTGAGTTCATTGAGCGTCCTTACAAACAGTGTTTTGAACTCTGCATCTATTAGATTGCTTATCTCCATTTTGTTTAGTTCTTTTCCTGGAATTTTGTTCTGTTCTTTTATTTGGGACATGTTTCTTTGTCTCCTCATTTTGGCTGCCTCCTGTGTATCTTCATATTAGGTACAGTTGCTATGTCTCCTAGGCTTCATAGGGTGGCCTATTGAGCGTCCCGTAGATGTCCTGTAGGATCCAGTGGCACAGCCTCCCTGGTCTCCTAGCCTGGTCCTCGAGGTGTTTGTAATTGAGTCTTGATTGCTGTTGGCACATCAGTGGGAAGGTTTTACTCAGGCTGATCAGCTGCAAGGACTGGCTGTGCCCACTAACCACTGACCTCTGACTACCTTGGATGAACAGCTGTGCAGGAGCAAGATTTACTTCAGCAGGGCTCTGGTACCCACTAAGTCCACTCCTTGAGTGTGTCACTTGTGGAGGTGGTTGGATGGTGGTGCTTTGACATGATCTGAAGCTATCCACTGGGTGTGCTGGCTCTGGGTCAAGGTCAGCCACTGCCTATGTTCTACCCAGGGCCACCAGACATAAGCTACAAAGTGGTCTTCAGATGGCTGCTTCTTGTGCTGGGCTTAGAGGTACCCAGCCGAAGCCAAGCTGTGAACCAAGGCTGGCTGCTTCTAGTGCCAGACCTGGGGCCACTTAGTGAGAGGTATGGGGCTCGCTGAGACCAGATGCTGCTTGTTTGAGAGAATTTAGGAATATCTGAAGCAGGATCCAAGACAGGCCATTCCTAAGGTAAAGCCACTGGGAACGGCTTGGGTGGTCTTGAAAGTTGGGTGGGGCAGAGCCTCAGGGAATCACCAGGGAGGGGCAAACAGTGTGAGCCAGGTTGCGGGAGTCCCAGTTATGGTGCCTGTCTGCTGGCCTAATGGGAGAAGGAACAATGGAACGGTGGAACACCAAAGGACCAATGGCCTCCATTAGTAAGTCTCTCCAGGAGAAAGCTGCCTTTCCAGTCCTCACCCTGATGCCAAACAGCTCAGTTCTTCCCCGTATGTCCCTGGTGCCTTTCAAGTTGCCTCCCCTATGCACTGGACTTCAGAGGGAGCAAGTCTGAGTTAGTTCGTGCGCGGGCCCTTTAAGAGGAGCTGCCTGGGGCTCCAGCAGACTCAGCCTCCCTCTGCCTCAGTTCCCGCTGGTTTTTCCAGCCAGAAGTTATGGGGACTTCTCTTCCTGGTCCTGGAACCCTGAACTGGGCACCTCAGGGAGGACCTTCATAGTTGAGGTGTCCTTCAGATTTTTATCTACCACACATGGGTGTGGGACCAGCCCATCTGCGCCTCTGCCTCCGCCCCTCCTACCAGTCTCGATGTGGCTGCTGCTTTCATTTCATAGTTGTAGGACTTCCATTCACCTTGATTTCAGGTGGTTCTGAAGGATGTTTTTGGCTTCTCATTTTTAAAGGTTCAGTTTAAATTCTACCCCTTCAGTGAAACTTTTTATTGAGTAATTCACTCTTTCTTCTCTGACTCTCATGATACTTAATATCCGTATCAGTACTTTGTGACATTGGATACTGCCTGGCATGCTACTTTCTCCAATCACAGGACTTTGATTTGATGTACACTGTTTTATATGCATGTGTTTGGTTATAGAATATGACCAACTCATTAATTTACTCAATACTCCCATAGTATCTGGCCCACAATGAATAAATAGTTTGTTTTGTTCTTTAGTGTCTTTTAATTGAATTGCCCTGTCAAATTTAGAAGGGCCTGATGGGTCAATATACCCTTGTTGAAAATCAGTTCATCATAAATGTTAGGGGTTGATATCTGGCCTCTGAATTCTTTTGCCTGGTTTCTGTATGTCTGTTCTTATGTCAGTACCACACTCCCTTGGTTACTGTAGTTTTATGTGGTAATTTTCGAAGTTCTTTTGCTAATTTTTATATGAAATCTGTTTTTCCCGAACTATAGAAAGGCCAGATTGATCAATATACTTTTCCTGGCTTTATAGTTCTAGAGCTCCCTCTTTTGTTGCTTTCATGAAGTGATCAAAAATAAGATTTCAGGATTTCTGAGATCTGGTTCTGTTTCTCTTTTGCTTTTTGGGACCATCTCTTTCTTTTCTTGTGTCCATGTGCTACTCAATTTAAAATCTTTCCAGCAGTTTATGATACAAAGACATCAGAAGAAGAAACATGGCCCCAGGTCCTACTGTCTATATAAACTTTTTTGATACATTTTAGAAACAGATAGTGTACATATTTAGGATCCTTCAATAATTGAGTAAAGTGAAAATCATTGCCCATCCTCTTCTATTAAGAGTTGCAAGATATTACTTTTAGTAGAAAACAAAAGTACACATTTACCAAAATATATGTAATTATTCTTAAAATGTATATATTTATACAAATTGTTCTTGACCGTATGTATTTAATATATTTAAGGGGTGTTATAAAATTGGAATATGTGTCAGCTGAAGAGTATTATTACTATTTTAAAAAATAATATTCTTAAGATTTCTCAGTAATTTAGGTAATGGGGCTCTTCTCATGAGTCTCTTTTCTTGATAGAAAGACAGGATTCTTGTATGGTTTAGGGAAGGAACTGGGCCAGCTATAGGAAGTTTTTTTTCAAGGTCACCCCTCACCTTCCTGCATAACTATTAATCCCATTAGTGTCTTCTATGTTTAAGTAACCTTTATGCAGTGAGGTTATCCTGAATGTGTGGTCCCATCTCCCAGCAGTCCTTAGATCTGGCCTTTAGTTACACTGTTTGAGATTACATGTCAGGAACTCTGGTAACCTTGGTGCTTTGATTATATGTAACTTCTTGTCAATTAGAGGTATGATCAATGAGAATAGGCATATAGTCTTTTTTATATATTAGTGCTCAAAAATTTTTTCCTGACTGATAGATTGTTTGAGTATTGATGATGCTTCTGGGGATTTGTGTTTATTCCTTCCAGGGGAACCAGGAAGTGGGACGGAAAGTGATACTTCTCCAGACTTCCACAATCAGGAAAATGAGCCCAACCAGGAGGATCCTGAGGATCTGGATGGATCTGTGCAGGGAGTGAAACCTCAGAAGGCTGCTTCTACTTCCTCAGGGAGTCATCACAGCAGCCATAAAAAACGAAAGAATAAAAACCGACACAGGTCAGTGGTAGGGACCACTTCCCCCCTCCCATCCACCATATTTCCCCATCCCCAGCCCCACCCTTCTATAGCTTTCATGACTATTGCTGTGAAGGGATTTTACTAGAATAAAAATTCTTCATGATTGGTTTAGTCCTGTGCAGTTGGGAAGACATTCCATTGGTCCAAATGAAACAAACTACTTTTTCTCTTTCTAGGGGAGAGATTAGTGGGCATAACCATGTAGGATACCCTTCTCACTGTTTTTGCTGTGGAAGAATTTTATTTTGTAAAAAACTTGTTTAATACAATGAATTTGGAATCCTTTTAGAAGTGGAAAAAGGGAAATAGAAACAGAGTCTGTATAATGCCACTAGTCCATGTTGGGAAGCTGCAAAATCAGATAAAGTCCTTTGCTTTTAATCCCAATCCCTGTCTCCTCTTGTTTCCTTGTGAATGGAGAGAACCAATTTGATGTGCCTTTTTTCTTTATAAATACAAGTTTTTTTTATCGCATGTGATTTCTCTGTTTTTATGTAGCTGCAATATGCTGATTTCAGATATTAGAGGAAGAATGTAAAGTCTGTAAGATATGAGAGTGCCTTCCTAGGTAACATTTGTCCACTGTGTTTTTTTGCAGTGCGTAATGAGATAGGAATGACATCAGTGGACAGAGAGGTCAGGTATCACCCAGAGAGGATTGTAGCATTCACTCTGCTTGGGGTTTGTATGATAATACGGGGCTTGTTTACTCAGATAATTAAAAATTATACAGCTGCATTCAAAGAGGGCATCGTTTCTAGAGTAAGGAATCTTGCCCTGGCCTCAGGCCTGCTTCTGGGAGGCATGGAAACTAGGTATCCATAGGCTGGCTTTTGTCCTGCTCCTCTAAGGAGCCTGAATGCTGAGGAGATGAAAGGAGGCATGCAAGGGATGGGTGGAGTTCCCTGCCCTCCAGTTTGCTTCTGGGTTGGGTTGCTTTACAAACCTGTGGGATTTTCCTTCATGCATCCAAGGTATTGAGTTGTTAGCTCTGGATGTGGCACACGGGGATAATGTAGAATGAACTCTAACTGGTTTAAGGCTCTTTGGAATCAACTGATTCTTTTGTTCGAAGAGTTTTTATTGTCGATGGCGGTGGTGGTTTTTAGAATGCAGAAATAGTATTTCCTCCAAATAGTGACTAAGGACTGCTAGCTCAGCATTTTTCTGCAAACCACAGATCACCATGCCAGTCTCTAAGTGCAGTAAGAAATAGCAAAAATTACCTATCTTTCCTTTTTTGTAAGCTACATGTTTGATCACTGTGGTAGGACTGATGCTAGCTTATCACAATAGTAGCAGAGAACCATACTCTTAAAAGTATTTTTAAAAACTGTCAAGATAATTAAATGTCATGCTGTGTTGCTTTTATTACATTTACTCCAGTGTCATTTTATTTTTTTATCCTCACCCGAGGACATTTTTCCATTTTTTGTTCAGATAGAGTGGGACGGAGAGAGAGGAAGAGAGAGAGAGAGAGAAACATTGACGTGAAAGGGACACATAGAGTGGCTGCCACCCACATGACCAACCAGGGCCAGGGACAAACTGCAACCGAGGTATGCGTCCTTAGTGGGAACTGAACCCGGGTCTCTCTGGAGCGCAGGCCGATGCTCTTAACCACTGAGCCAAACAAACCGGCCAGGGCTCCAGTGTCATTTTAAAGTAATGATGCTTTTCCTATTCAGTGTCTAGAGTAGGGGGAAATTCTATGAAATTTTCTGGGACAGGTTTTTTTCAATTACTGATACCAATAGACACTCTAGATAGCTGTTGTTTATTTCAGGTAATACTTCATTTCATTTAGTGACATGATCAGCTGATGAGAAAATGGCATTAGACATTAAATCTTTCTTCTTGTGGGTTTCTAGTAGATTTACATAGGAACTGCACTTCCTTCTACCCTTTTCTCTCCTGGCCCTAGAAGCGAACTCCTTCCAGAAAAATAAGTAGGATTTATAAAGATCTTTGATGTTAGTTATTATTTTCACAAATGGTGCTTTCTGTTTGGAAAGCAGGATCCTTTGACCATTTCCCTGGTTTAATCTGGCTGGGCTTCTCCCTTGGACTTAGGTACTCACCTGTCCCAGTGAGCAGAGTAGAGCTATTTACCTTCTTTCTAGGGAAAACAGGTTGAGTGTACCTGACTGGCAGCTCAGTGGCCAGTTAAGCTTCTCAGATTCCTGCCGTCTTTAGTCAGAAAATGTGTCTGGCTCAAACCCTTGGCCCCTGACTAATGTCTTAGTGGGGCTGGGGGTGGAGCATTTTGTACATATTTGTGAAAATGTTTAGTACTTGTATAGTACTTGTTTCTCCTCCAACGTACCACACCCCAAATAGTCAGATAGTCAATAGTAAATTATTTCAACCAATGTCTGAGTACCTACTATGTGCCAGGCACTGTTTTGTGATGAGTAAAGCAAAGTGGAAATAAATACGTTACTTTAGCAAAAAGGAATACGTTTTGAATCTGTCTTCAGGAATATGAAAATTTATCAGGTAATTTTTAGTATTCATAAATGACCACACTATTCTGAATTTGTATGTTTTACATGATATCTGAATGATAAGTTCCAGTATCTTTAAAGAAAAAAGTTGAAATAGTAACTTATAGCTGCTCTTAGGTTTTTATTACTATACGAAACTCTAGAATTCTTCTAGGTTTGTTCAGTTTTCATTAATAGGTACAGTCTACTTTGTAAACAAAGTTAAGCGATGCTGAGAGTTAAATTTTTGATAGTTCCTGGTTTGTACACGCACTGTATACTCTTTTCGAAATGTCTTGAGTGAAACTGTTACATAAGGGATTTTAACGTTAAGCTTTCTTCTAGCGTCACTCTTGCAAACACTGGTTAGGAGGAAAAGTTAGCCATTTTGCATATTGTTTTACCACCTATCTATAGTCTGAGAAGTTGGAGCCAGCAAGGAGTTGGTGTCATGCTCTGGGTAAATGTTTGCTTTGGAGGTCTGCCCAGATCATGGTTATCAGTGATGGCCCCACATGACCTTCTCATACTGCTCCCATCCAGATCCCCGAGGCTTGGGTGCTTGTGGGTGTCAACTTTTCTTTGTTTTCATAGGGGTGCTGCAGACTTTGGTGTCCCATACTGTAGCCCTGACATAAACAGTTAACTGCCATCACCAGTTCAGGCTCTGCAGTTTCTGGAACAAGAATCACCTGTCACTGAAGTTCCTTCATTCGACCCTGGGCTTCTAAAATGAATGCTGTAAAAAAGGAGTACCATGTTCCCTGGACATGATTAGAACATATAACTTGTTTAGAACATATAACTTGAGTTCAAAATTACAAAATGTTTTCTTTTTAAAAAATGTATGTTTTTATCTTTTGTTTTAGTGCAAGTGTATTTTGCTAAATTGGTAGTACTATCTTCAAAGCACCTTTCATTATATGACTAAACCCTTCCTTTTCTACTTCTTCTAATGCCCTAATAATTGTTATTACAATGAAATATTTCTCAACTTCTAACTCTGAATCTGGCAGCTAATAGAAGGCCTGCAGGTATCTAGTTTTCTAATGAAATAACTTATCCTTTCATAGTCTGTTCTTATTTGAAAACCATTGAGGGAAGGGAATCTCCCAACCACAAAATCTTCGGTGCTTTGATGTTTGAAACTTTATGGCTTAAGATTCTTAAAGCTGATTTTGTTTCTATAAATCTTGCTAGGGTGGCTAATCAACTAATTTATTCAATTAGTATATTAATTTCTATTGCTTTCTTCCTTTCAAATGCTGCCCCTCAGCCCGTCTGGCATGTTTGATTATGACTTTGAGTAAGTTTGATTTGAATTAGTGTTTGTGCTGTGTTGTTTAGTGTGTAGAGACCAATATGCCTTTTTGAGACCTTTCTAACCCATAGTTTATCTGTTTAATTGTAGGTATGTATATTAGGTTAGGCTGGGAAGTTTTTTTTAAAAACAGAAAAACGTGATGGAGGTAACATTTTATTTAATAACTTCAGCAAAATTAAGTAAACTTCACTTTTATGCATTTTAATTGCTTTTAAAATAGATAACTTTAATTTATATTTAATTTTATTTCTGGCTTTGCTTCATAAGGAGATTAATAGTTTAAGATCTTGATATTTTGCTTTGGAAAGATTTAAAAATTGAAATTTGTTTAATTTCTTTTGTGTTTCATGTCTGGAAATACAAACTCCTAGTCTCTTTCCTATTCTTAATCACTATGTGTCTAGTGATTATCAGTGATATAGTTACAGAGCTAACACATTAACATAGAGCATGCCCTCTTAATTCAGTCTCTTTAACGTGTAATTTTGGAATAATTTTTAAAAATTATATGGCTTTTATAACTGTTCTATATTTCTTTCTGAGTCATCTAAGTTTGCCTTGTGGCAGGAGTGTCTGCTCATGTTTTTAAATACTTGCTTAATAATATCTGGATAAACAACTAAATATGACATAGTGTAATGAAGAATGTGAATTTTACTTAACCAAATAGTCTTTGTTATAGCTTGTGCCCTAAGCAGTAGCTGATTCTTGGACTCTTTTTCTGTAAATTGAAATGCAAATATCTTTATCTTTTCTATACAGGATTGATCTGAAGTTAAATAAAAAACCACGAGCTGTAAGTATCAGCTGGACCATTTCAGAGACTGATAACTTTGTTGATGATTAGAAAAATAATTAGAAGAATGTCTTCAGAGCTTGAGTGTCTCAAATCTGGGGTCAAAGCTCTAATTTTAAAGTCTGGGGTGTCCATTTGTATAAACTTCAACTTTTAGGTGTTATTTACGTTTTTTATATTAGAGAAAGAAAGGAGTCGCACATTTTTACTGAAGTAAACATCCCGTTGGTTAAATGATGAGTTGTTAATATTAGCTTTTTTATATCTGACTGGGAGCTCAGGATGTCTAATAATTAGGGCAGAATTTGTGTTTCAGTCCCTTGTGGATTCAGAAGACAGATCATTTTCAGGTGTGAAATATACCTGAAATAGAAATCTTTGGCTACATTTGAAATAGAATCTTTGGCTATAGAACAGTCCCCTAGCAGAATTATTCATGAGATTGAGATATATATATGTGTTCAAACCACTGTTCTTCTGAGAATAAATGGGGTTTTGTTTTGCTCTCTTTAGGACTATTAGAAGACTCGTTAGTGCAGAAGCTTCCAGGCTGTAGAGCCCTGCTTCCCTCCTCCGACCTCACAAAGACAAACATCCCTGCCCGCGTGTGTGGCCATCCACCTCTGCTTTCCCAGACCCAGTGTCTGTGACTCTGAGTAGTTTGTTCTGAAAAGTGGTGAAAAGTCATTTCTGTAAGACCACATCGGATCATTCACATTGTGTCATTCTTAGTAACAGAACTGCAGGGAGACCAAGACATGGTTAGAATCCCAGCAAGTTGCTAACTGAATCTCTCCCTTCTTGGAACAAATATCTACCCCCAAACTGGCCGGCACCAGCTTTGTCTGTGATACCCTTCGGGACATGGTCTCTGCTTTGGTTTTTCCGCTGAAAGTAGAGCACAGATCACATTTCAGAGGGAGGCTGTAAATATCTGGCATATCCTTATTTTGTTTGTGTTTTATCATTTTTCTATTGTTGTTTTTACCATCTTTTTTTCTTTTGGGGCTTTTTGTAATGACTTTGTACAGCTCATACCTTCCTGCTGACATATCTAATAATCTGTTTTGCGGAGTTGCCAATGTTCTTAAACTGAAAGTGACCTGGTTTACCATAAATAAAATGGGGAACTTGGCTCTTTGGTTTTTTGAAGGGGAAAGGTAAGGTATGTTTATTTAATAATTACCTATCTTAAATCTCTGTGTTGGAAGCAGTCATGTTCAAGGAATAGGAAAAGTTGAAAAACGTAAGTTTAAATCAGTCCTTTTAAAATATTTTTATTCTTTTGTATAAATAAAATTTCACAGGCTTTAACTTTTCATGCTTTTAAACCTGAGGTTTTTTTTTCACTTATTTATTCATATCATACCTTATGGAAATTTCTTTTTTCATCTTTTCTCTCTTTGCTGGTATTTGCCTGATTAAATAGTGCTCAGAAAATCATGAAGGCATATGGAAAGGCTCATAATTGCACTCAAAACTGATAATATGTAGAGTTCCTGGGCAGAGTGAAATATAGGATCAACGAGAGCCAGCCCAACAGGTCCCCCGTTCCTAGAGGGGGTCATGGGCCCAGGAAATTGCTGATGGTTAGCAGGCTGAGGAGCAGTTGTGATCTACCCTGGCTGCACATTGGAATCACCGGGGCTTCGAAAAAGGCCGACGCCTGGGTCCCATCCCCAGAGACTCTGGGCTAGGGTACTGTCTAGCTGTGGGAAATCCTTTCAGAGAGTCCCTGGGATTCTGATAGGAAGCCAAGTTAAGACCCACTGCATTAGGAGACTGGATGATGTGATTTAACTCCTGTGTTGTGAATCAGTCTAAGGGGTACGATTTGGGGCCTCACCTCTCCTTTGACTCTATTTAGTTATAGCCTTCACTTATGCCTATATCTTTATTAGAAAAAATATGTTCTATTTGTGATAATATTGGTAGAGCTGAATGTGGGTGGTGTCGATGATCAAAACAATTCTACCTTGTCAGATGTGCAAAAGCTTTCACTCTTTTTCTCAAATAAATTTTTTGGATTCTGTGGCTATTTAGATGTCTTTGGCTATGTCTTTGATAGCAGAACTGTAATGTCAGGGTTTGTAAGAAAATAGTTTCTTATATTTAGATTGTTCCTTTGAAAAAGAAAAAAACAACAACACAACAATGTAAACCAGAAGCATTCTGTATCCTTTGTCAATTTGTCTCCTTTCCAGGAGGGAGAAGAGGGATGCCTAACAGTGTCCCTGACTCTGAGCAAAGCACATGGTAGACCTCAAAACATTTCTCTCCTAGTTTGACATTTGCTGGAGATGCGTAGCAGGACTGCTCTTTTTTTTTTTTTTTTTATCCTCACCCAAGGACATCTTTCCATTTTTTGTTCAGATAGAGTGGGAGGGGGAGAGAGGAAGAGACAGAGAGAGAGACATTGACATGAAAGGGACACATTGAGTGGCTCCCACTCGCACGACCAACCAGGGCCGGGGACAAAGTGCAACCAAGGTTTGCACCCTTAGCGGGAACCGAACCTGGGTCTCTCTGGACCGCAGGCCGACACTAACCACTGAACCAAACCGGCCAGGGCAGGACTGCTCTTAAAAAGGTGTATTATTAAAAAGTATATCTGTGTGCACGAATATACCCACGTGTGTATGTGATCATAGAGCCAGGCTCCTTGTTTTATACTTACTTTCTCCATGAAGTTTAATCATTGATTAGGGGAACCTCCCAGTTTTCTTGTAAGTTGGCCAAAGTATACTGGAGATTTTCAAGTCCTGAGAGATTGCTTAGGTCCTCTACATTGGGGTGGTTTAGAAAGAGGGACCAAGGGGTACCTGCTCACCATGCTTGTGATACTTGTAACCTTGATTATAAACTAAGTTTGCTTGACTTAAAAGAAGATAAGGGCCCTGGCCTGTTTGGCTCAGCGGTTAGAGCATCGGCCCTAGGACCAGAGTCACGGGTTCAATTCTGGTCAAGGGTATATACCTGGGTTGCAGTTTGATTCCTGGCCTTGGTCGAGCTCCTGTGGGAGGCAGCCAATCTATGTGTCTTTCTAACATCGATGTTTCTCTCTCTCCCTCTCTCCCATTCTATCTGAAAATCAATGGAAAGGGTCCTCAGGTGAAATTAAAAAAAAAAAAAAAAAAAGGTAATGACTTCGATCAAGTCATTGTTCAAGAGAACAAAGGTGCTAACAGGAGGGATACATTTATTTAGGTGGCAGATGCTTTCATAGTGCGCCTGTGTATAACTGAGTAGAGGTTATCTGCTGGGTGGCCTACGTTGTTCCATCTTAGCAGCCCCCTGAACTGCCCTCCGACCCTACAAATTGTCCACAGCAACTTTGTAGGAACAACCCACAGAGTAAAAGATTAGAAGCTGTGTGGGCCAGTGGAGGGACTGAAGGGAAGCATGAATTTGGACATGGCCAGTGTGGGTTGAGAGAGCATGGACTTAAAAGCTGCTATACATATCTTGGGGGTCTTCGGAGTGCTTTAAGAACTTGTCAAAAAGTAGGTTAACCGTTCTCCCCACAACTGAGTTTATACTGTTTGCTTAGGAAAAAATCCCTTGCTTTGAAAGAGTAGGAAGCAGGCATTGGAATTAGTTCCAAGTCCAGGCTGGGGCCTTTGGGTGCTGGGGTGATGTAAGTGAGTATTCTATAAAGAGCATTCATGACATCTTGACCTGTGCAGCAAAAAGGAGAGTCAGTCAAGTGTGGTGTGGCCTGAGTTGGAAAGCAGTAAGCATGCTGTTTTGAAATAGCCCGTGACTTAGTTTTTGCTTTTATTCTGAATTTTCTGCTCCTCAACCTTAACTCCAAATTACTGAGGCATTGCTACCCTAAACATTCACACCTAAAGCCGCACTCTGGGGCAGTGCCCTGGCTTGGGTGCAGTGTGGAGAGAGTGGATCGTGTGACTTTGTACACATTTGCTTCTCCCAGAATGGTAGTGTATTTGGTGCCTGGGAAGGTGATGTGCAGGGGGATGCAAAGATGATGAGAAGAACGGATTGGGACTCTCATTCCTCTGTTGATCTAAATTAATGTTATCACATCTGAATTTTAAACAAGCGCTAAACTTCATGATTTGAAACAGTGTTCGTTTAGAAGAACTGCTTCTGTAGAGTAAAAGTTCTCACCACTGAGATGGTGCAGGAGATTCTGATCCTCACATCGCAGGCCAGTCATCCCGTCTCCACGGGGGAGGGTGTGGAGAGTGGCTTGTGGCAGGGCCTTTGATTCGTATTTACTTTCACTTTGAGTGTGTCATAAAGTATACTCAGATCTTAGTTTATTAGTACAGCTAGATCATTTATAAATAAATGTTAGGCTGAACCACAGCAATTGATGATACTTAACCATTTTGATCTTCGAAAATGGCAGTTGTGCCCTGGCCAGATTGGCTCAGCGGTTAGAGCGTCAGCCTGCGGTCCAGAGAGACCCAGGTTCGGTTCCCGCTAAGGGCACGTACCTCGGTTGCAGTTTGTCCTCGGCCCTGGTAGGGTTGTGCAGGTGGCAACCACTCGATGTGTCCCTTTCACATCGATGTTTCTCTCTCTCCCTCCTACTCTATCTGAACAAAAAATGGAAAAATGTCCTCGGGTGAGGATTAAAAAAAAACAGAAAACGGCAGTTGTTATGGATTACATACACCTGGTAGGAATACGTACGCTCTAAGTTTTTACTGTTCGTATACAAAAATGAACTTCGGAGACCCTGGCTAATATAACCATCCTCAGACCACCACCCCACACTCATAATTTAGTCCTATACCCCAAGGGGACTTTAAAATATTTAATTTGAATAAGTAATACATGCAAATGACATACATTCAAATGGTACTGAAGTGTGGTCAATGAAAAGCAAGCCTACCGACTTCCGGTCAAGATGGCGGCGTAGGTAAACGCGGTATCGCGTCCTCCCACAACCACATCAAAGTTACAACAAAACTACAGAACAACCATCATTCAAAATCGATCTGAATGGAAGTCTTACAACTATGGAATTAAAGAAGCTGCATTGAGACTGGTAGGAGGGGCGGAGGCAGAGGGGCTGGTCCCACACCCACGTGTGGCGGATAAAAATCAGGAGGACACCTCGGCTGGGAAGGTCCTTCCTGAGGACTGAGGGGTCCCCGTCCCACACCAGACGCCCCGCTCAGGGTTCCAGTGCCAGGAAGAGAAGTCCACATAACTTCTGGCTGGAAAAACCAGCGGGAACTGAGGCTCAGGGAAGCTGACGTGGCTGGAGCCCCAGGCAGATCCTCATTATTATTTTTTTTAATCCTCACCCGAGGACATTTTTCCATTTTTTGTTTAGATAGAGTGGAAGGGAGGGAGAGGAAGAGAGAGAGAGAGAGAGAAACATCATCGTGAAAGGGACACATCGAGTGGCTGCCACCCACACAATCAACCAGGGACAAACTGCAACCGAGGTACACACCCTTAGCGGGAACCGAACCCGGGTCTCTCTGGACCGCAGGCTGACGCTCTAACCGCTGAGCCAAATTGGCCAGGGCGGCATCTCCTCTTAAAGGGCCTGCGCACAGACTTATCGGACTCTCTCCCTCTAAGCTTGGAGGAGAGGCAGCGCGAGGGGTACCAGAGACAAACAGGGAAGAACTGAGCTGTTTGGCACTGGAGCGAGGGCTGGAGAGGGGGCTTTCTCCGGGACAAATGTGCTGTCAGAGGCCTTTGTTTCTTTGGTGAGCCCTTCCCTGGGGCGGCAGACAGCCGCCACATCTGGGACTCCAGCAACCTGGCTCACACTGGTAGCCCCGCCCTATGCCTCCCTGAGGCCCCGCCCCACCCAACTTTCAGGCCCACCCAACTTTCAGGCCCACCCAAGCTGTTGCCAGCTGCTTCACCATAGGATTGGCCTGTCTTCGATCCTGCTTCAGGTTTTCCTAAATTCTTTCAAACAAGCAGCATCTGGTCTCAGATAGCCCCATACCTCTCATTAAGTAATACACAGAAACAAACACAGGGAGGCAGCCAAAATGAGGAGACAAAGAAACAGGTCCCAAATGAAAGAACAGAACAAAACCCCAAGAAAAGAACTAAGCGAAATGGAGATAAGCAACCTAACAGATGCTGAGTTCAAAATACTGCATATAAGGATGTTCAGTGAACTTAGTGAGGGCCTCAAGAGCATAAAAAAGGACCAGTCAGAAATGATGGATGCACAATTAGAAATGAAGGAGGCTTTAACTGAAATAAAGAATAATTTACAAAGATTCAATAGTAGAGTACGTAAATCCAAGAAGCAAACCCATTGATTTGGAATATAAGGAAGCAAAAAACGCCCAATCAGAACCGCAAAAAGAAAAAGGAATAAAAAAAAAATGAGGATAGTGTAAGGAGCCTCTGGGACAACTTCAAGCGTGCCAACATTCGCATCTTGGGGGTGCCGGAAGGAGAAGAGAGAGAACAAGAAATTGAAAACCTGTTTGAAACAATAATGGCAGAAAACTTTCCTAACTTGGTGAAGGAAACAGACATACAAGTCAAGGAAGCACAGAGAGTCCCAAACAAGATGAACCCCAACAGGCCCACACCAAGACACATCATTATCAAAATGCAAAAGGTTCAAGACAAAGAGAGAATCTTAAAAGCAGCAAGAGAAAAGCAGTTAGTTACCTACAAGGGAGTACCCATAAGGCTGTCAGCTGATTTCTCAAAAGAAACTTTGCAGGCCAGAAGGGAGTGGCAAGAAACATTTAGAGTGATGAAAAGCAAGAACCTATAACCAAGATTACTCTATCCTGCAAAGCTGTTATTTAGAATCGATGGCCATATAAAGTTTCCTAGACAAGAAAAAGTTAAAGGAGTTCATCATCACCAAACCGTTATTGTATGAAACGATGAAGGGTCTTTTTGAAGAGAAAGATAAAATATATGAACAAACAAAATGGCAATGAATACATATCTATCGACAATGGAATCTACAAACAAAATGAACAGGCAGAACAGAAACATTCTCATAGATACAGAGAATATTTTGTTGGTTGCCAGATGGGAGGGGGGTTGGGGGAA